CATTTACTGGTGGTGTGTGCACGTACACACCACCAGTGTACAACAAGCAACATTTCACCTTGATTTCCTTACTTTAATTCCACATTTAAAGCACATTTATCACCAAGTTTGTGGAAATTCAGCTGTTTTAAACACATTTTAACTTTAATACACTTTGTATTTAACTTTAATACATTTTGTATTAACTTTAATACACTTTGTATTAACTTTAATACACTTTGTATTTAACTTTAATACACTTTGTATTTAACTTCAATACACTTTGTATTTAACGTTAATACACTTTGTATTTAACTTTAAAACACTTTGTATTTAACTTTAAAACACTTTGTAATAACTTTAATACACTTTGTATTTAACGTTAATACACTTTGTATTTAACTTTAATACACTTTGTATTTAACTTTAATACATTTTGTATTTAACTTTAATACACTTTGTATTAACTTTAATACACTTTGTATTAACTTTAATACACTTTGTATTAACTTTAATACACTTTGTATTTAACTTTAATACACTTTGTATTTAACTTTAATACACTTTGTATTTAACTTTATTACACTTTGTATTTAACTTTAATACACTTTGTATTAACTTTAATACACTTTGTATTTAACTTTAATACACTTTGTATTAACTTTAATACACTTTGTATTTAACTTTAATACACTTTGTATTAACTTTAATACACTTTGTATTAACTTTAATACACTTTGTATTTAACTTTAAGTAGTTCCGACCTGACGCTGTGTCAGGTCGGAACTATTTGTGTTTATAGAGAAATTCAATAAGGAAATAAAATTAGGCTACCACTAGAGTTTTTTTTTTAGTTGTGATGTGATGCATCACTGATGACGGTCTGTCTCCTACACCCCTCAACCAACCCACACCACCTCCAGTCCAGTCCACAGAAGAGCTGGACAGAGGACAGGGACAGGACAGAGAACAGGGACAGGACAAAGGACAGGGACAGACAGGACAGAGAACAGGGACAGACAGGACAGAG